AAGCAAGATTCTGTATTTGGGTAAATTTATTGCAATCAGTTCAACACATGGTGAATTGAATCCATGTGTTTCAATTTAGAGGATAAAATTATTTGTTCCTTGTACATACAGAAAGCGAAGAAGATTCCTGATAACTTTCTACAGTTTTCCTTTATTGATTTTGCAGATTGCAAAAGCATAGCCTGCACGCTTCCTTGACTTATTGATTGGTCTCTTGGATTCCTGAACTTTACAGAACTAGAAAAAGTTTGTTTAGGAATGTTGTTTTCCCGTATGTTATACAGCTGAACTATCCAATACAGTACTTATCCGCTAACCATATGTAGCTATTTAAATTTTTATTTTAATTTATTAATATTGAATAAAATTTTGAATTTGATTTCTCAGTTGCAGTAGCCATGTTTCAAGTGCTCAATACCACATGTGGTTGATGGCTACTGTATTGGACAGCACAAGTATAAACATTTCTATCATTGCAGAAAGTTCTTTTGTACAGCACTGCTATCTGAAGTCTTGGCACCTCCAAGAGTGATGTTTACACCTATGCAGCACCTTTCGAGAAGTCAGCCAGGAAGCTCTAATAGCTACCTTTTGGCATTCTTCTCCTTTCTGTTAATTCAACAAGAGCCAACTTAAGGATTTCTCGAGGACCTTTGAGCCTTAATGAAAGCCAGCATTCTAGTAAGGGTTTGTGTAGAGGCAGTAGATTAGCATAGCACGTGTGGGCTCCAGCTACTCAGAGCAATAAATCTAGTACATAAAAGGCAGCTTTGATTCTAAAAACTGAAAAAATATTATTCTGGTATGAGCAGTTTCATAAATAATAATTAAAGTGATTTTGATCCTCCTATATTGATTTTAAAAAGCAAGTCTATTAATTTTATAATTCCGAAGTGGAGAATTTATTACTTCCTAAGTTAGGCAATGTTGCTTTTAAAAGTTATGTACATCAAAAGACCATCTTTATGAACTACTTTTTCACAGGCCAAAAGAATTCCTAAAATATCTATTGCCATACAACTGCTCTTAAATATAGCCATATCTACTACACTTATAAGTCTCATTTTTAATTTCATTAAAAGAAGATAGCACAGACTCATTTATTCATATATCCTAACTTTATGTGATGAAATTCCAGGTTTTAGACCTATATTTAAGTTATGTTTGAGTATCATATCTGTTTAGGCTATGATGACAATACCAAATGATAACTTTGGCTGTGACTATATGGAGAGAGATTGAAAGCTCTGATTTAATCACTTGTCTCATCATCTTGATTTTGTCTCATCATCTAGGACCTAATTCTTTTTTTGTAGGTTAATAATAACAATAAATGCTACTTATTAAACACGTACATACAGGTACTATGGTCACAGTTCTCCACTGTCCAGGCTGTCTTTGTCTCTTTGCAATGTGACTTTGTAGTTCTTCCCATTAAAAAAGAGAATCTGTTTTCCCAATCCTTGAATCTTGGCTGTCCTTGTGACTTGCTTGGACCAATAGAATGTAGCAGAGGCAACATTATGATAGTTCTGAGTTTTGGTTTCAGGAGGACTGAGGGCATTTATTTGTTCCCTCTCTTGAACCTCTGCCATACCATGAGAAAATTTTGTTGGAAATGCATGGCCCAATACCCTCATCGCCCTAGCTGGTAGCTAGCCAACTACCAGGCAAAGACCATAAAAAAGCCTCGCTGAAGTCAGCAAAGCCCGTAGGACCTAATTATTAAATGTAATCAACCCCAATCCTTTAACATTTCTACCTTGAAATGATTTTCTAGCCTTTTTGGTTACTTCTGTTCAGCCTCATCCTCTACAGGTTTAAGGCTTTGAATTTAGTGTTCTGTGTCCTAATAAGATGACCCTCTCTCAAATTCTGTGTCACACTCATATTTGCATGTCCCTGTGGTGGGCTCCCTGCCGCCTCCCAGTATATTATACTATGGCTATGCGTTACCTTGCCAATTGCATACAAAGCCAGTTATCCTACATGTTATACTTGTGTATTTTGTATTTAGACTTGTTAAAATGTACCTGCCTATCAAACTTCAAGGTGTTGTTTCTGAGCTAAGTTAGGGGACACCAAAAAAGGAGCACATATTGGTTTTTTTGCTTGGTGTTGTCTTCAAGTCAGCTATACATGTATTCAACTCTTATGTTTCTTACTTAATAACTTTGTTTTGCCTCCTTAAGTCTGTTTACTAGTTTAACTTAGCAGAAGTCTGAGCTAACCATGTTCTTTTTTTTTAACTGTCTTAAATGAGACACAGAATCATCTAGCTGGGAGCATTCCATTGATGTTTGACATAAGAACTATAATTATAATTAAGAATTGATTACTTATTGATTTCTTTGAGTTTAGAATCTGTCTTCTCCTTTCTAGATTAATTTGCTTGAAAAATTGCATCTTTAATATTAGTTATCTTAACAGCTTGTGAATAGTCTTAATTCAAAATTGGTATGCTTTACTTTCAAAGCATACTAAAGTGTACCTACTAAATTAGATAGAAAACTCCTTTAGGAAGTTTGAAGAACTACTTGCATAAGATCTGAGCTCCTTAATAGCAATAGTATAGTACAAGGATTAGAAAACTACCACCTGGAAACCAAAACTAGCCCACCACCTATTTTTATATGGAAAGTCTTATTGGAACACAGCATGAACATTCATGTATGTATTGTCTATGGCTGCTTTCACCCTACAATGACAGAGCTGAGTAGTTGCCTTCAGGCCTAAAATATTTATTGTCTGGCCCTTTACAGAAAATGATTGTTGATCCCTAGTGTAGTAAAAACTCTTGAACTTGGAGGAGTAGTCAGAGAATCTCAATTCTGTCTACCCTTGATTCTATCTCAAAGTTGGCAGCAATCTTAACAGGTTGCTAAGCCTCTCTGAACCTCAATTTCCTCATCTACAGAATGCGTCTCTTAGAATGAATCATCTCTAAGGTTGACTCTCACACTCTAATAAAATTCTATAAATCCATAAAGTGTTTCAAAACCATTTTGCTGTTTTACATAATAATTTTGTGTGAAAAATTCTAACTGCATGCAGTCACTGAGTTTAGAGAACTAAATAAACAAAACCACTAGCTATAAAACAGATAAATTAGGAACTCTACTATTGTTTCAAAAGAATTTACATCTCAGGGCTCCTTTAAATAGTGCTTTCCTGGTAGTGTAAGTATTTCTAGATCTTTGGCTACAGTAGTAGCTAGAATATGCCTTGAAACATAAAACTAACATATACTATAGGGGAAAGAGCGTGGGAAAGGTCAAAGAGGATAAAAGGAGTCAAATACCTGGTAACAGAAGAAGACTAAACTTTAGGTGATGAGCACACAATACAATATACAAACAATGTATTATAATACTGTGCACTTGAAACTTTATATAATCTTATTAACTAATGTTAATTTAATTTAAAAACTCAATTGAACTTTTTTTGGAAATAAAAATAGAGCATCTCTAAAATTTTAGTTTCAGTGTAGGCAAACACATGATTTGATTTATAAAAATTCCATTCCCACCCAGCTTTTAGGGAACATGTATAATATGTAAAGTGAAATAAGTTTCTACTGTAGAAAGAAGAACTCAGCATTCAGTACTATTTTTTCATCATGATAGCTGACCATAAAATTCTGCCTAAGAACTTCTCATGTATTAACCCTAGACTTTTGGAAATCTAAAATGTTTCCTAGAATGGTATTATCACTTTTCTGTTTTTTGCTCTTCCCTTTCTACAGTCTGTATCTTTTTCAATTTCTATTTTTAAAAGAAACCCTAACATGACTCCCCTAAAAATGAATCTTGTGGAAATGTATTTCTATTAATGTTTTCATATATATATGAAATGCCTACACACATAAAAGATTTTCTTTTCAAGAAAAATCCAAGTTCAATATTTAAGATTTAGACTTAAGACTACTTGCATGAATTGATACTTAGACCAACAAAAGGCTATGTTCATGTTCTAGCTCTATATTAGTAGGGTTAGTAATCATTTGCATTTACAAAATGCTTTACAGTTTACAAAGCACTTTCATTTACATTATGACTTTTGACAAACCTATAAAGTAAGTAATGTCTGTTTTAATATTCTCACTTTATGATGGAGAAGAAAAACTCAAGTTAAATGATTGACTCAAGTAGCGTCATGCAGCTTGAAAGTGGCAGAGCCAAGGAACACATGTGGATATTCTAGCCTAATACCTAAAACTCACAGAATTCAACACTTTTACAAAATAGGTACTATCATTCTTTTTGTCACTGAAACAATAATTCCCAACCTTTTTCCACCCAACAGTCCTAAGGGATGTCATGCACTCAATATGACAGTGATTCCCAACGAGGAATCAGAGGAGACTATGCATGCGGTTTAAAAGAGTCACGTGTAGTTGATTCTGCTGTGTGGCCTGATCAAGGAATACTGTACAAGAGTAACACATAGTCATTGTTAACAACAAAAGAAAGGGGGGAAAAGATTCAAAAAGGAAAAGTGACTCATATTTCTACTTCCCAGATATAACTAATACTAATAACAGTTTGATATACGTTGTCTTTTTTTCTAAATGAGATCATACTGTAGATTGTTTTAAAACCTTTTTTTGTCTAATTCATCACAAGCATCTTTGTGTTTCATCCTTCTGCAGCATCATTTTATAGAGACTGCAGAATATTTCATTGTGTGGTACTTGCTTGAGTTCAAGATGTGAATGGTTTCATATACTTTTGCGTCTCCAACAGTGTTATTCTGTTATATGCATATGTGATTGATTTAAAGGAATCCAAAATTATTTAAAAGCTACCTTTTTTCTAGTTGTCATCTCCTATATATTTGACTTTCCGAATAATCAACCCTTAAATAACCATTTGTTAACTTTTTATATTTATGTATTTGTTTTAATGTATAATATTTTTATCTCTTTGCTTTAGGGTGCAGTTCTAGCAGCTGTGTCAAGTCACAAATTCAACTCATTCTATGGGGATCCCCCTGAAGAGTTGCCAGACTTTTCTGAAGACCCTACCTCCTCAGGTAACTAGGTCATTCATTCATTCACCAGTGCGAATCATTTGGAGTCTACATCCTTTCTCTTCCATTTTGAATAAACCTTTCTCTGTGAATCTAGTCAGATCCTCCAAGGGATTCTAAGGAAGTTTGTCAGCAACCAAATCCCGTCCACATGTACCTGGTTCCTTTTAATCTTAATACCAAAGTTTCTCTCCCCTACTGCTCCAAAACCAACATTTCGCTTTTTCCTTTTTACCTCAGAAATATGTCTTCCCGTTTTCCCACTCCAGACCTAATGTTGCACTTCATCCAATCCAACTTTGTAGTCAATCTTTTTGGATCATTCTGATTACCTTCTACCCCAACAAAAAGTTCTGATGTAAGATTTTCCCCATGTCAACTGTAGCAGAGCAGACATTGGGACAACACTGCTTTTAATTGAATCTATCAATGTAAAGCTGTCTTGTGAGTTCTCTCTTGAAATAATTTACAAGTTCTCTTTTTTTAAAGTCTATAACACATGTACACAAGAATTCAAGGAAGAACATAGAACAGTTACCTATATTGATTAAATGTTTATAGGTATTCCTGAAAAAACTCACCAGTGTTCACAAAATTATATTATAAAATGCCCAGATTTTCATCTTAACCAGCAAGGTATTCTCAAATATCATTCACTAAAAATCCACGGGATCCATATATATGTATACATAGATGCATGTATGTATGTTATAGTTTTATTTTATTTATGTATTTCTTTATTAATTTAACCCCTGCATCATACATCCCCTGCCCTTGGTTTTTCTTTTTTCTTTAGAGTCTCTCATTTGTCATGTGGTTGACTTGGTGCTGTTGATTTGATTCTTGTACTCTTGGACTAGCTCATTCAATATTCATATATTACCATTGGCATCAAGGCCTAGGGCCCTCTCTGAAGCGTGAGTTCTTTGTCCTTCACAATTAGCAACATAGAAAGTATGGATATGCTAATACTTCTTTCCTGTTGGAACCATGAGCATTTATCAGTATTTATGCTTCTTCCTTCTTCTGTTTATACGTATATGTGCACATACACACTCAAATGCACATACGCACATGCACATACACACTCAAATGCACATACACACATATACGGGGAGAGCGTTTCTTACCAATTGGTATGTGCTTACACCTTGTGCAAGATGACAAGATCAGATTTTCCATTCCAGCAACTATACAGTTCCTGATTTTGACTATTACTAATTGGGATGTGAATCTTCCTCTTTTGAGTGAAGGTGATTTCCAAAAACATTCAGAAATGGGAATCTTAGAGAAGAGACTCTGAGGAGAAGGCTTTGCTGGTTTCCTCTTGTTCTGATTTGATAATTGCCCAGAGCCTTTACCACATGAAAGGCAAGGCCATAGTTGTGTTTATAGATATGTTCCCCAGTGTTCCCTATTGTTTCTTGTCTTTTTTTCCTGTTTGTTGTTGTTGTTGTTGTTGTTGTTGTTGTTGTTGTTGTTGTTGTTCCCTTCACCTGTGGCTTCTTGTGGTTGTTTGTTAGATTGGAACCTCTTTCGTCTCTCCTCATATTCAGATTACAGTTGACCCTATCTAGCGGGACTGGATCCAATAATGGTTTTATGTTGTGCTGTGATTACGTGATATAGTCACATACTTGGAATATATTTCAAGACTTTAGATCAAAATCTCTAATACTGTTTTAACCTTTAGAAATGGGCCTACTGACCAGCATGGTCCTTGCAATAGCTTCGCAGACCTGATCTTTAATGTTGCCCTTTAATATGTACCTCTGCCTAGTAAGAGTTTAATGAGCTCGTAAGTGTTCCTTTCTGTGAAAAGTTGGGTTTTTCTTTCAGAGAAAGGAATTGTCTATAGTTATAGTCATGCTTACTTTTTATTAAATATATTTTGTGGCCCAATTTTTTGTTTTTCAGTACAATCTGTAAATGATATGGTTGAAATCGTTTCTGATAACACTATTTGCTTTTTAAACGAAAAAATAAATTTCTTACACTGTCTTGCAGGTAGCCTGCAAGCCCTCAAATTAGTTGTTCATAATTTCACATTTTATCTTTCCTTTCCTGCAGTCACACCCTATTTCTTTTTTTTTTTTGTCTTTTTTTAAATTTCTAGATCTTAATGATCTTGTATGCAGCCTATATCTTCATTTGATGTGCTAAATGTCTGTCTCTAAAATATTTTTAGATAGCACCGTCCATCTGCTATGAATAAAAAATAGAAGAATTATTATGCAGTATGCGTATCTGATCACCTACCCTAAGAGGAAATTATTTTATACTCAGGAGTCAAAACAAAAGAAAAATATGAAGGAAATTCTAAGATTTTTTTCTAACTTTCACATAGCTATCAGGAATTATTTATATGTTCCTAAAATTAATTTTTAAAACTAAGCCGTTTAGAGGAGGCATACAATTTTATCAGCATTCTTTATCAAACAGCTGTCTGCCAGCAACTTTCCTTTTCTGCAACCAACAGTAATGGTTGTATGGTTGGTTGAAGAAAGCCTATTATATAGTTCATCTGGATTGACATAATTTCATAAATTAACATATCTATATTTTTATTTTTCATTTCTTTATTTCTTAATATTTTTATTAATTTTCAAATCTAAATTCTTCTCTGTTTAATTCTAATCTTTAAATTCTGCATCATTTATTTTAAGTTCTCAGCATTATCCTTTCCACTGTCTTTCTGTTTAAATTTGCATGGGTTTGTTTTACAGTACGAAACACAAAACACTTTTCATCATTACCTGAAAGTTCTTCCAAGCCCATGGCAAAAAAAGAAATATGATCATAGAGCATGTATTTGTAGGGTGGGGGGTGGAGGTGCAGAAGAAGGGGTTAGAGAGAGAGAAGAGTATAAGGTCACCAACTACCCTTTCTTGAGATGGACTGTCTGTTTTTCATCTTTACAAAATGCCTTTTCTATTCTTTTCTATGAAATGATAATAAATGGTAGGTAGTTAGATTTGTTTAATGACCTTGTTTGACAAAATTAAAGGCTGACAATTCTATTTTGGTCCCCCCAAAATTCTATTTAAAATTACAATTTAAAAATGAATTTAAAACAAATCAGTTTCTCAATTTGTCATCTAAAGAATGGTCTAACTTGTTTAGGTATGCTGTTTACATTCTAAAACAATTTTTACATGAGATTTTTCTCTATTTTGATTATTGAAATTAATCTGCTATATATTCACTACAATTTGCTGAGTTTAATCTTATGATAAACAGTATATTTTAGCTTTGTTATTTAATCAAAGTGGAAATATTCTGTTTACACGTTTCAAATCAAAGAAGTTAGAATCAGAACCCAGTGTTTTATTGACTGAAATCCTAAACAATCCCAGTAAATGTGCTTATGGAACAGAGGGGCTCACTTTGGACTCAGCTGAAGGACCTATGCTTTTTGCGGCTCATCTACTGGGCCCAACTGTGGCTTGATAACCTGCTTGCTCTAAAATCATACTGTTTATTGTTTGTCCATATGCTGCCTTCCTCCTAGGACTTCTAGCAGCAGAAAGTAGGTATCCCTTTGTTTTCCTCTAAGGTTTAATCTTTTATGCAAAAATGTTTGGCTTTGCATGGTTCATAGTCAGCTTGACTTTTTCCTTGGCTGTTTTGTGTTTAGATGTTTAATTATGAATTTTAACACTGCCTGATCATAAAATAAATACTTGGATATATTGATTTCCTGAGGCATTGTTATACAAATAATATTAACTTCTCACTTCTTTCATGAGGAATAGAAGCAGTGTTAAAATTTTAACTGTACTTAATATTATTTCACGTCTTAATTTCAAGCACAAATACATTAATTCTGGGGAAAGGGTAACATTTTATTTTATAGTTTGCTTTCAAGAAAACTATCAGGGTAAGTGAATTTTCCTTTGACAATTACATGATCTATAAGCAGTTTTTATTGCTCTCTGTTACTGACTGTTTTCAGTTTATTGATATGGAGCTATGAAATAAACTCCTGAATTTATTTCCCTTAACTTTTACCATCAGAAAGAACATTGATAAAGAATAATGTAATGGCTAGATTTATATTACAAAGGGAGGTAATTTGAGTATGTGAGGATATTAAAATAAAAAGTATGTAAGAAATTACATACACATACATGCACACAAAAATGAATACAAGTAAAATTTAGGCAATCTGAATAAGATGGGTGGATTGTATTAATGTCAGTATTCTGGTTATGATATTATACCATAGTTTTGTAAAATGTTACCAATGGAGAAACTGAGCAAAGTATATAAGGGATCTCTGTATTATTTCTAACAACTACATATGAATCTTTAATTATCTCAATAAAAATTTCAATTACCTTAACATTGTGCTTATTGGAGGAAAAGTATATGAGACAAAGATAAATTAGAAAATCTGGAAGCTAATAATTGAATTCGTTGTCACATTTTGTTGCCTTAATTACTTGTAGCTCAAATTGCAGCCAATTTAATACAGTCATGCTCTGCTTAACAATGGAGATATGTTCTGAGAAATGTGTCATTAGGCAATTTCATCATTGTGTGAACATCAGTAGAGTGCACTTACACAAACCTAAGTGGTATAGCCTACTACTGTAATTGTATGTGCTCTACTTTTATGTGATTGTTAGTGCAGTAGATTTGTTCACACCAGCATCACCACAAACATATGAGTAATGTGTCGCACTATGACATTACAACGGCTATGACATCACTAAGTGATAGGAATTTTTCAGCTCCTTTATAATCTTCTGGGACCACCATTGTATATGTGGTCTGTCATTGACCAAAACATAGTTAAGTGGCACATGACTGTATAAAAATGTCACAGTATATTAGTTACCTGTTGCTATGTAATGAATAACCACAAAGCAGCATTTATCATCTCACAATTTCTATGGGTCAGGAATCTAGGCATGGCTTCGCTGAGTGCCTCTGACTCAAGATCTCATGAAATTACAGTCAGGCTGTTGTCCAGAGCTGAGATCTCATGTGAAGGCCCA